ACGGCCGCCGAAACTCCTGCCCGTGCTCGTGGATCCACTTATTTGCCACTGGAAGGGACAAGGACAAAGACCCCCGTCTGCCCCCAGCCCCCCTTTTCCAACCCCGCTCCACTATTGGGCTTGTTTATCCCAATTATCCAGGATTTTTCTGGGTCCCCAGTCGCTTTTGCCTCCCTGCCAGCCCCTCCTACCCCACGTCACCCCAGGCTGACATTGGGCACTGTCTCTCACCCCACTTGTCCCCGGCCAGGACGGGGCAGCCGGCGTGCAGGGTGTCCCCGTCACCGTCCCCGTTCCTCCGCAGGTTCCACCAGAAGAGCGCCGCGTTCTGGGGAGCAGAGAAGGGTTTGGCACCCCCAAAGCAGGTCTGGGAGCCCTGGGGTTGGGCTTTAGCACCCCAAAAGAGGCAGGAGCCCCAGAACTGGAGTTTGGCACCCCCAAAACAGATCTGGGAGAGATGGGGTTGGGTTTTAGCACCCCAAACCAGGCAGGAACCCATGGGTTAGGGTTTGGCACCCCTAAAACAGAGCTGGGTGCCCTGGAGTTGGGTTTTAGCACCCCAAAACCAGCAGGAACCCAAGGGTTAGTAAAACAAGCAGGAACCCATGGGTTAGGGTTTGGCACCCCTAAAACAGAGCTGGGTGCCCTGGGGTTGGAGTTTTAGCACCCCAAAACAAGCAGGAACCCATGGGTTAGGGTTTGGCACCCCTAAAACAGAGCTGGGTGCCCTGGGGTTGGGTTTTAGCACCCCAAAACAGAACTGAGAAGCCCATAATTGGAGTTTGGAGCCCCAAAATAGAGCTGGGAGCCCTTGGGTTGGGGTTTGGCAGCCCCAAAACAGAGCCACGAGCCCAAGGGCTGGAGCATGACACCCCTAAAACAGAGCTGGGAGTCCTGGGGTTGGAATTTTGACACCCCAAAATAGAGCTGGAATCCCCAAGGTTGGATTTGGGCATCCCAAACACACACATATAGGATCCCCAAAGCTGGGGTTTAGCACCCCAAAACAGAGCTGGGATCTGCAGGATTGGGGTTTGGATCCCCTCGAAGGAAGCCAGGGACTCCAGAACTGGGGTTTGGCACCCCAAAACAGATCAAGGAGCCCCAGGGTTGGGGTTTGGCATCAGGACAGCCTCAGCCATAGCAAGATGAGACACAGGAGTGCTGCGTCTCCCCTTCCCCACTCCCGGGGAGATCACGTGGGTCCCCCTCACCTTAACCACAGGCACGCTGAAGTTGGCGTAGATGAAGGCGGTGGAGCCGCCAGCCTCCACCGCGCTCAGCTGGAAAAAGAGTGAAAACATGAGCCACGGCCTTACCTCCGCCTTCCCATGGGATATGGCTGCTTTGCGTGGGGAAACTGAGGCACAGAACCTCCCTTGTTCTCCCACAGTGCTTCTCTCTCCTCGGCATGGCATGAGCTCTTAAATACTCTGCATTCACTGCCATTTAACACCCCACCAGGGTCTGATTTAGGGCTGCCCTCACCCTGCTCCAACCCCGTTCACTCTGAACCCTACTGATGACCGTGCAGGTGGAGTCTCTCTGGGCCTGGAAATGAGGAAGGACTCACGTAGATCATGACGGTGGCGATCCTGTTGCCCGACTTCATTCTGTAAAGGGGGCTCTTCCTGGACTGCCCCAAGAGCGAGGAGGTGGCGACAGTCAGTCCCGTGGGGACAGTCAGCCTCACGCTGACACGGCTCGGCCTGGGGCCACCTCATGCCCTAACAGAGCCGGTGACTCTGGGCTGCCCCCAGGGAAATGTCTCCCTCTCCTTTCCTTTATTTCCTTCCCTCTTTCCTTTCTCCCTTCCCAGGAACATCCCAGGAATCACCATGGGGACACCCCCAAGGGCTTCCCCCACCCAAGCAACCATCCCAGGAGCGTAACAAGGATCACCCCAGGGTCCACCTCCAGGGATATCTGAGGGACCATCCCAGGGACCACCCTGGGAGCCACCCCAAGGACAACCCCCATCTGGGAGCACCACCGGGACCTCCCCCCCAGGGTCCACCTCCATGAACATTTGAAGGACCATCCCAGAGACCACCCCAGGGACATCTGAGGGACCATCCGGGAGAACCACGGGGACAACCCCAGGGTCCACCTCCATCAACATCCAAGGGACCATCCCAGCGACCACCCTGGTGACCATCTGAGCGACCACCCCAACGCCCAACCCAGGATCACCCTAAGGACCATCCCAAAGCACCCTAAGAGCCACCCTGGGCACACCCCCGTGGCCACCCACGCAGCTCCCTGACCGTGGCGTGGTCGAAGTGGGGCTCGTACCAACCCCGTGGTTGCCCCCCTGCAGGTATTCGGCGTAGGGTGGCCGCAGGTCCAGGCCGGTGACGGCAGCGATGCGCAGCTCCAACGCCCGCACCGCCGGGTCGGCGGTGTCCTTCAGCCAGGCACTGCAGGAGCACCCTCACCTTCAGCCCCCCCAGATTCACACAAGGCTGGGTTTAAGAGGACCCTGGCCTCTCCCCAAGCATGGTTTCACTGCCCCCTTGGTGGTGGCAATGGGGCCATGGGGGTCCCACTGGCTGGAGGACAAGGGATGGCTTCTACCTCTTGCTTATCCGGTACTCGGCCTTCTGCTGCTTCTCCCCGGAGGCGACCACGGACCTCTGCAGCTGGAGGAGATGGGAGGGGGATGTTGCTGAAATGGGGCCCCCCGCACTAAGCAGGGACCCCCATCGGGGTTGAAACTGGAGGGTTTTGCAAAACAGCACCACCCCAAGGTGGATCAGCCGTTGGATCCAATGCAGTTGGGTGTCCTCAAGTCAAGCATGGCAGGGAAGGGGTTTGGGTGCATTCATGGACCTGGTTTCTCCCCAGAACCTTTTGGGGGACGGGGGTTCACCCACCCCAGGGTCTCACTGCAGAAGGTTTTGGCTAAGTCCTGACTTAAACCCCCTCCTATCTCCACATGGTGGTTGACCCTGGACCACCCGCTCTTGGGGCACCCTCCTCCAGGTGAGGGACACCCCAGGGGATGTGGATGGCTCACCCAGGGCCCTGCCAACCCCTTGATGGTCTCAGCCTCGTCATCGCTGATGAAATCATGGAACAAAGCCACGTAGGGTCGGATCCGGACCACCTCCTTCTTGGCAGGCTGGAGGAGGAGGTAGG